AAGAAGAATTTGTCATAGCATTCGGGAAATACCGCTGTTTGTAGATTCACATTCTTAGAATAACGACTCAAGTTATGGAAAGTATAAAAGTCGTAGGTACTAACAATTAATTAATAAATATCAATAAAAAAAAAATGAGTTATTTTAGTCTATACTTGAAAAAAAAAAAAAACAATTATAGTAAAATCTAATCGATTATTTCAAGACCAAGACAAAGTAGATAGAGATTGATGACAATAAAAATGTATCGTAGCGTTGGATGCGGTCACGGTCGTAGAAGGTAAAAGGACCTTAAAACAAAGTTGGTACAAGGTGAGAAGTGTGAACAGTTGAACGGCGTGCAGCGTGCTAGTGTGGTGCCGCACCATTGCATTAATCGATCAATGAACATCGTGGGCGATAAGTACCGCCGACACGAGACACTGACTCACCTCAAATCAACTTGGTTTTATTTACCTGAAACACGTTTTTCAAAGCGTGTCGTTTATAAATCAATTTAATTAAAATACATTTTTTTTAAACTTATCTGTATTTATTATTTATATTTCTTTTCATTGGTACACAATAGGCAAATAATTTATATGAACTAAAGCAAAAAGAAGGAGTATAATGAAAGGTATTATCGCTAAAACCGACCTTTTTTTTCTTCGAAAAAAGCCTTCTAGGCGATTTATATGTCTTGAGATAATTTACCTTAAATAGTAAGTTATATAATTAGACATCTGTAGACTGATGATGAAGGTTAATAACATACCTAATGAAAACAAAAAAATCTCTTAGCTCTCTTAGTTTAATTTTTATTTCGGCGCTTGAAAAAGCACCGCTGGATTCAAATACATTATTATTATTGATAAAATAAAAAATAACGCCATCATATTTAAAACAAATTGGAAAGGGCTTTTAGTCAATTCCAAATAAAAAAAATCTAATCCTAATCTAATCTAAAATTAAGAATTTAAGAAATTAATTTTATCCAGGGGCTCTTTCGCAAAATAGTGAATTATTATTATTACATGTCAATATTTTCTACAAAACATAAGTGTCGCGAAACAACTATTGAGCTATTGAAAGTCGGCTTTGATTCTTTTATTTTAAAATGACCATTTTCGTAATTTTCGTTTCCATGACGTATTCACGAGTCTCGTTTTGTTCTTTTTAAGTGAAAGTTATTTACTTGTGTAACTTAGTTTCACTTGCACTTTTAAAGTAAACATTTTATCAACAGCCATCTTTGGATGTTAAAAAAAGTTAGGAGTCTTACTAGCGTACGCAAGTTTTGTATTTAAAAGGTAAGCCGGTTTCCTCGTGCAATAATACTCGTACAATATTCTGTACAAGCGAGCGGTTGCTGTTCTTGGAACATTGAAGCTAGTTACTCATTGGATTGATGCTTGCCGCATATCAATGACATCCTCCTGCGGCTTATTATGCATACCTGGTACTTTACCTTTCTCGTGATTAACCTATCCTGTTTCTTGCCACTTTATAATAAACTAGCTTTTGCCCGCGACTCTGTCCGCGTGGAATAGTTACTTTGGTATAACGCTAAATTTTACCTCCCACTTCATTTACGCAGAAAATGAAAATAATTTTGAATTATAGAATGTTATGAAGCTATTTAAACCCCTATTTTGAAACATTATTGGAGCTCCACTTTTATTGGTCTTACCGTAATGTTATAGAGCTTATCCTATAGCCTTCCTCAATATATGGGCTATCTAACACTGAAAGAATTTTTCAAATCGGACCAGTAGTTCCTGAGATTAGCGCGTTCAAACAAACAAACTCTTCAGCTTTATAATATTAGTATAGATTTCTTACCAGCGTAAAGTATACAGTTTATTCTGTCCGTATATCATGAAGAACCTTAATTTCAAAATCATTTTATAGCTGATTTTTTTGTTGTTCATAATTTGCTGCGGTGATCTATTTGACTTTCAAGATGATGAAGGTGTGCTGGTGATAGAAAATGTCTAGTTTACGTATAAGTAAAATAGTACCCGTTGGTATTGTGTTGTTGTGATCGGCATGGACGGCTTGCGCACAATAGACTCGACATAATGGGGCCATTGATTGTGAGGATGGATGGATGTACAATGTACATGTGTGTACTTTTGTACCGATCTTACGAGAACTACATTCGTATTGACGTTGAATTGTCTTCAGATTTCATTTTATGTACTTACTCACACACACACACTCTTGTACTGAACTTGTCGTTGTGTCTGTGACGTTATTGAATGAATAAATTTTAGATTTGGAATTTGCTCAAGTAATGTCTGTCAGTAATGCAGAATTAAATAGACTAATAGGAATTCACATAGTTCATCACTTGCATTAAAAGATATAAGGCCTTACTGTACATGCCCGTTTTCGTACGATCGACAAGTATGTATTAACTTTAGCCGGTACTATTGTATTTTAGTAGCATTAATCCGACAAACTTTACAAAACGACCGTTTGTTTATATACCAGTATTTTCTTTGTTTATTAGGAGTCGTAAAAATAATAAAGTTACTTTTACGGCTTAATCTCTTCTTTATTATTCCGACACTTCGATAACTCAGGTGTCGGTGTTCATGGAAGACTAAGGTGTTATTTGTTCATTTTTGAATATATGCTGACTTAGGTGTAATTTAAAAAAAAAAAAACTTTTTTTTACACAGAAAGAAATAACTGTGTGTTGTGGCACCGTGTAATTTAAAATAAAAAAATATTAGATTTTTTTACACAAAGAAATAACCGTATGTTGCGTGTGTTGTGGTGTTTTTATTTTATTTTATTTTTTTATTGCTTAGATGGGTGGACGAGCTCACAGCCCACCTGGTGTTAAGTGGTTACTGGTGTCCATAGACATCTACAACGTAAATGCGCCACCCACCAAGTATAGCTACAACGGCTGCCCCACCCTTCAAACCAAAACGCGTTACTGCTTCACGGCAGAAATAGGCAGGGTGTTGGTACCCACCCGTGCGGATTCACAAGAGGTCCTACCACCAGCTTCTTTTACTTTGATCTGCATCATTAGGTATGATATGAGGATTTTTTATACAAAAAGTGAGGACGATAGGTAGTTTTGAATTCGAAGCCTGAAATTAAAACGTATTAAAATTTATAAATAATTAAAAAAGCAACTGTAGTTTTTTTGCTTCTCAAATATAGAAAATCCATCACATGATTTTTTTTCATCGTCTTATAGTCATATGGCTGCCGTGTACGTGAGCGTAAGTAATCGCATTGGCACAAAATATTGAAAGTTCAAAAGTATAACTTATGTATATATTGCATATTTAGTACGTTCAGTGGTCGCGCTAGGACGCTCAACTCTGACTTACGCAAAAAAGGTGCGTTATAGGAAAAAAAAAAACAACTATAAATAGGATAAAATAGGTACCAACAAAACAAAAACCAATAAATAAATAATATAAGTTTAAACTCAAACTATTAATCGTATATTATTCATTTGTTACTTAAAAATACCTTTCGAATATTTTTACAAAATTAATTTGCTCTAAATAGTTAGACATATTCATTAACAATTTAAAAGTTGCATTTCACAAAAAAGCCAAATAGCTACGTACAAACATGTGCTAAACATTTACGATTAATAGTACGATTATAGTGAATGGATTTAATTATATTAAATAGTGACTTAGATAAATGTATGTAATAAAAATTAACGTATATGTACTTTATTTACGTAATAACGTCAGTTGCCCATGTGACATTAGTCGTCGATTATAGTTTTATTTATTTACTTCTTTGGAACAACTGGTAGTTTAAATACAAGAAGAACACAAGAAAATAAACATAACACAAAAAATTCACATAACAGAAGAAAACGCATCGAATGGTACTCGTGTTTCCACAGTTCCAACTTGTTCTGATATTACTTGTCGGTGAGCGATATCTATTTAGCGTTACTGAAGCCCGCTAGTAACTTTTCTTCTGTGCTCTCGGTGTTTTGTCGCATGGATAATAGCCCAGCTGTAAGTCAGTCTTGCAAGATTTTTCAATGTTTCTTCACGAATGTTAAAAGAAGAACTCTCCGTTGCTGTCTGTATGCCGGCGTACTAAGTGCGCGGGGTTTTAACTAACACAAAGGTATACGGCCCGTAATTAAATAAGCTTCAATTTCTATGAGATAATCTTATTAAAGAATTAATTTTATATTTGATTATTTTTAAAGTTACTTAAATAATACACTTCCTGTGAAATTTTCATAGAAAGTGGGAGTCACTTTAGTTAATTGGCAATACTGACGTGGACGACCACGTAGATTTACAGTGATAGCGTGAGTGATGTAAATTATTGGCGTTCATCTATTTGATGTCATGATTTACAGAAAATGTGTGTCCACGAACGCACTCATTTAGGGGGAGAATAGATTGGAAAATAGGGGGGAAATTCTACAACTAAGGACAGTTGACATAGTAGTTCTAGTAGAAATCTAAAATAAACGGAATCGCATCCCTGGAAACTTAGAGTACTTAATGTTAGGCAGCGGCTTGGCTCTGCTCCGAGCATTGCTGAAGTCCATGGGCGACGGTAACCACTTACCATCAGGTGGGCCGTAAGCTCGTCTGCCTACAAGGGAAATGAAAAAAAAAACTGATTAATAATTGGTCATACTATTCTAGAATTGGGATCGTGACGCATAAAAAGAAACTATCCATTGTTGCACTTTTTTCTTTTCCAAAATCTTCTTTATTTTATAATAAAAGGTGTCAATTAATTTTTAAATATTATTCATTAAAAATTTATTGACACCTTTTTTACGCTTTGCTCATTCAGTCGTCTTCGCCATCTTCCTGTTCTTGTCATTTGTCTGTAATTCTCATTTTCCTTTCTTAATTTTTACTCTCACTCACATCTTAACGCTCCATTCCCAAACTCTTTCTATACGTTCCATTCTTACCAATCCTACACTATTATCTTGTAAGTTCCTCTGGTTTTTTAGAATATTCAATAGCATAACGTATTATTTTATTTGGTTGCAGCAAAGAAACAGAATGGTTCGGCGGTGCGAACGAATAGCCTTGGGTCAGGTGCGAGGACGCCGCCCGCGGAACGGACCAAGTCCAAGTTCTCGGCCTTCGGAAGACTGTTCAAACCGTGGAAATGGAAACGGAAAAAGAAATCCGAAAAATTCGAAGCAGCTTCTAGAAGTAAGTTTACGAGTATTACGTAGTACAAATCACAGTGATTGTATCATAATTTTAGTGTAAGTAAAAAACTAAACAAACTCCTTATTTAATTTTATTTTTATAGCCATCGTTTTACCATTATTAAAGTATAGTTTGTTTTCTTTCAAACATGGCGGTTAAGTGAAAATGTATTTTAATTTTAAATTATCTTAACAAATCAATAATCATAAATACCTCGAGAACTCGTGTTAGGCTTAACATCTAATTAGGTCCTAAGTTACGCAAGTTTAAATAAAATGTACAGTACAATAATAATATTTTGTACCAAAATTATTATCGACTGAATCAATTAAGATATAAATACATTGTTATCTATAGATATGAATATATATCTAGTAACTTAGCGATAAGATTTCTGTGTTGGCAACCTACACTTATTTATGGTAATTAGTAAACAAAAGCCTAACATTTCTATAATAATATATTTTTATCTTTTTACAGCGTTAGAAAGAAAGATATCCGTCCGAGCAAATAGAGATGAGTTGGTACAGAAGGGTATACTACTGCCAGAGAGTCCTGTTACGCCAGTACCCGAAGCCAGTAAGTTTCTCGTTTAAATCAGAAAATGCTTTGAAGCCTATCGATATCGCAATACGAAATTCCGCGACGTACCTTGTTAGATGAGGTCGAAAACTCTATTGTATAGTATTAGAGCCGTCCCATCTTTCAAACAACAACGCATGAATGCTTCTCCGCAAAAAATGCATGATGGTGCTGCTTACGCGTGCGATTAAATGTACGCCCTACCTCCAGTATATTGGCGATCGCGGTATGCCTGTATAGTATTAACAGAACGCCCTTAGTAAAATTTTATGACACCTACTTAATAGAATAGGCGATATTTGACAGATGCCTGAATCGCGCTTACGACTTGTTCAAGATATCTAAACTTGCAAATATACAAGTATCGAACAAAAATATTTGGACCGTCGTTCTATCGAGCAATTTCACCAGCTCGGTGGAAGATCTTCCCTTTGTCGTTATACCCCAAAATACTATACTAATGGTATTCGAATTTAATGAATTTAACAATTAAAAAACCATATTAGGAAGTCCTTCGTGTTAAAGGTCACCCGTATGAAGGAATTGGATAATGAACATAGTTTCATCATTAAACAATGTGTTTCCATTTTTAATGACATAATTTTTGGATTTTACTTTATTTTTAGTTATCAGAGAGATGTTTAGGATCACGAACGAATTGCACGTTTTTATTATAATTTCACAATAAATACCTGAAAATTAAAGAAGTTAGGGGTTCGATTTTTCTTTTACAAACCGTTAAACAATGATCCAACTTCCACCAGTTTTCGGCGGTTTGATGATTTGTTTCATACATTTGGACAATATTCTACGCTCAGCATTAACTAATTAAGTATCGCATTAATTAATTAGTTTCGGCGGTACTAGGCCAGCTTTGTACGCTTTCGATCGTGACACTCACGAAAATATATGAGATCACGTAACACGTTGCATGTTTTATGGTTGTAATGATCATAATTACACAGTAAAATGTATATTACTTTATGATGAAACGCGGTATCGCTACATGGAAAGTGGCATACTGTACAAATGATCAACGTCCGTTGTAGAGTTTCTAATAAACGCTTCTAATGCTCTCAGCGTTTGCGCTCTTATGTAATTTAAATATTACGAAGCCTTACTGTGTTCATAATAGTAATGATAACGCTGTTATTTATATAATATAGTACCACAAAAAACGAAGGAAACAATTATACAATATACAATTAAAAGTAAAAAAAATCTGTTATGATTTTTTGAAGTTCAATTTTATTTTAAGCAACCGTTTCTACGTCATTGCATAGTTTTAGCTTCTTTTAGTATGGCAGTCAAATGGCATTAGCCTGAATTCGGCTGAGAAAATCATAATAGTCATGTTCGTATATCTGTATGTCACAGTACTTTTGCTTGGAGGCTTACAGCATAACAGCGAACCGGACAGCTCTTTCTATTTAAACTTACCTCGCTACATTTATAAAACTCGACAGAAAGTAAGTTGTTTACTTGTGACGTCACTTGAGGCCAAAGTAAACTGGCTGCTAAATATGGATTAGGTATGCACTAATTTACAACAGCTCCACATACGACATCATGGATTGTAAATTTTGTGTAACTAGTCGTAATTCGCGGACTTTTATCTGGAATTATAAGTATTATGTAGTTATTTTAAATTATAAAAAATTAATAGTTCACAAAACTAGGGATTCCATGATCTTTTTCATGTAATTAACAAATTTTTAAACGAGTTCTATAGATTGTTTTATTGGTGTTGAGTTGCCCGTTATGGTAGGTAGATGTATGAAATTAGGAGGTGTGTTCTATGAACTCAACTTTGAAAGTATTAAATTCATGAATAAAATATAAGTATGATGAGGTGTATAAGTGAAGGATGAAATAAATAACGTGTACAATTTTTTAACTTAAACAGAACGAAACTTTCGATTACGCGTTATTTTATTTTAGCGACCAATAAATATCAATTGGCTATTTATTTTTAATTAAGCGTGAAAGTTCATCCCGCCTGCGGTGCTCTGTGCGTATTCCTACGCGCACTCCGGCCGGTTTTTTAAACCCATAATAACTATTTTAATGAGGCCTGCTATTAAAATGGCATTAAATGTTATCTCGTGTGGATAATAACGACCTTCAATAGATAAAACTGTGAGTCTGTCAAGCATTCAAAGGACTTATTTCATTTTTAAAGTCAATAGTCTTGTTTTCGACCAAAAAGGGGAAGATGAACATAGTCTATTCGTCTATGCCGTGAATGAAAATGTAGTTCATATTTTAGGTCAGAGAACTTTATTCGATTGTCTGACTATAATAGGATCCGTGACATGACGTATGTTATTTCTTTTTTTTTCTTCATATCATCTAATTCTCCCTCTTTTTATTAAGATGGAAGAAAGACTAGCTTACGATCCGTCGAATGTTATATAGTTTCCAACGCTGATGTCCGATCAATGTTAGGGGTATACCGCTACCCAAACCTACGCAAATCTCAAATAACTTATTAATTACAAAAATGATTTTAGTTATGATTTTAGAATTTTTTTGTGTTTATGAATAGCTAAAGTATGAATTTCCATTATCTATACACATTATAAAATTATTTATTATCCTCCTGCATATGTAATCACATCGCAGTCTACCGTTTTTAGTAAAACATTTTTTTCTATCACGTCATTGTCTACGCGGGCCTCCGAATTAGGAGGTCAAAGGCTTAGGTTATGCGTATTATGTATTTGTAGTAACGTAGAGTATGTTTACGTGTACACATGGTTATCTATTAGCTGTGTATTAGCATTTAAGTAGGACGGAAGGCGGCGAACGCGAGGTCGTTAGCAAAGAAAATCAATAGAATATGTACTTAATCTTATTTGTCATTACCTATACTTGACTCATTAACCATACTTGCGACCTTAAAACTTATATCTCAAGGTGGGTGGCGCATTTACGTTGTAGATGTCTATAGACTCCAGTAACCACTTAACACCAGGTGGGCTGTGAGCTCGTCTACCCATCTAAGCAATAAATAAAAAAAGATTAGGTTTTTTCTAAAATCTACAATTCATTCATTTTCAAATTTCTACATCTTCAACGTAAATGAACCACCCACCTTGAGATATAAGTTCTAACATCTCAGAATAGTTACAACGGCTGCCGCACCCTTCAAACCGAAACGCATTACTGCTTCACGGCAGAAATAGGCAGGGCGGTGGTACCTACCCGCGCGGACTCACAAGAGGTCCTAAATCGCATTAACGTACGAGTATATTTGTTTAGATGAAGAGTTGTCTCCGGTGTATGGTGGCGAAGAGGCGCGGGCCGAAACGAATTGCGGGCCCGACCGGATGAACGCGATGCACGTCGCGCTACAGGCACAACTCGCGTCGCAGTTAGCGCAGCAGCAGGCGGCGCTCGCTGCCGCCGTCGCCGCTGCTGCACACCACCAAAACAATAACGTCATTGGTGAGTTTTCATTGCAATAGACTAAGCATAACTTACAAGGGACGGCGGGATGGATGTAATGTGCTCTGCGTTAACCCTGTCCCGCCGTCTCAATAGCCCCGACTGGGCTCCGGCCCGATCCGAGGTAGGGCGCCGGTTGTGAGCGGCAGGAGTTTTTAGTGAGGTTCAACTCCCACATACCCCACCTGCCGCGCGGGTGGGGATCCGGCGATTTTCTCCTGTGGAAATAAAAGCATAACTTACAAACGTACTATTAGTTTCATAGGTGATCTGTCTTAAAATAAATAAAATTTAACACGTTCAATGCCAAACTAGAAACGGACATCCTGTGACCGCCAATAAGTCAGGTTCATGGGGCTGTGACATACACTGTGATTTTTTTTTAATTGCTTAGTTGGGTGGACGAGCTCACATTTCACTTGGTGATAAGTGGTTATTGGAGCCCATAGACATCTACAACGTAAATACCGCCACCCACCTTGAGATATAAATTCCAAGGTCTCAGCATAGCTACAACGGATGCCTCACCCTTCAAACCGAAACGCATTACTGCTTCACGGCAGAAATAGGCAGGGTGGTAGGAGTAATTACGCAAATTATAATTATGCGGGTTAGTTTTTTATTACACGATGTTTTTCCTTCATCGTGGAAGTCAATCGTGAATATTTGTTAGTACGTATTTTATTAGAAAAATTGTGTGTGCCTGCCATTTGACATCTCTCTGTCATCTGAAATATAGAGCAGTCGCTGTTTCCGTAAGCCGCTCATTATTTTTGAGTTATTTCTTGACAAAACACCTCAACGATTCTTGATGTGCGGCCCTAGAGGAAAGTATGCCTTAGATACATGGTATCCATCATGGCGTTCAACGTGTGAAACACCGCGTAGCAAACATGTTAGCAGTGATCTTAAGTGTTGGTAGGCAACTGGCAGAAACTCAAAAGCGATATCCAGATATATATGAAATCGTAATGAGATTTAAAATATTGAACTGAAATGCAAATGTTTTCAAGCTTTTGCCGCCGTCAGGTCATATCTACGGGAACACACTGAGCTGATATTGACTAGACATTAATAATAATATTTTCTTAAAGAATATGCAGAACAATATTTTGATTGACACGTGCGATGGTGCGATTGGCTTGGCATACAAAACCCAGCATGGCTCTATATTCGTTTTACCATCACAATACAATTTTTAACAAAAAAGAAAACCGACTTCTACGAAATAAAATGAGAATAATGTCATAAATGCAGTCGATGTCAATAAAATACTCATTATTTAGAATAACTCAAAACCTAACGAATAACTAAAACTAGTCAGATCTTTATAAAAAAATAATTAGGACCACACGAGAAGCACTATCTTTCAAATAAAAAAAGAATGATCAAAATCAGTTCATAAAAAAGTTCCGAGTTAACAATATGATAAAAATACAATCCAATTGAGAACGTCCTCCTTTTTGAGGTCGGTTAAAAAAGAAAGAAGGCCATTGTCTGAGAATTATATATATTTCGTAAATATTCAGAAAGCAGAGTTGTACATTCATTGAAGAATAAGCATGATAATATGTCCCGGAAAGAGCAGGTCCTTTGTACTCTATTTTTAGCAAACCAAAGGTCCAACGGTCGGTTAATCTATCGTGCTATACACATGTGGATATACAGGAAAATGTTATAATAATGAATTTGGAATTTATAAACAGAGTATGTGATCATGTAGTAAGACACAAAATGTAACTCAGTCATCCCTTGTGAGAAAACACCCGACAAAACTTATCATTGGAACTGGATAGTTGGTGCCTGCGTTACCAATTGAAAAGCTTTTGCAGATACGTGAGCATAAACTTTCAGAGCGTCTATAAACTGCAAATCCTAAGTAACGATCTAAAAAACGCAACAACATACGTATCGTATGTAATAATATAATTGCCGTTTTATTGTAATAGGTCTAATTGAGATAGAACCTTCATGGTTTGATATTTTTGAGTGAAACTTTTTTCAAATGCTACCTATGAGGTTCTTCTTTTAAAAAATGTGCAACGCTCTTTATCGACTTTCAGTTGTTTTTTTTTTATTTAGCTTAGACAAGAAAGATGGATACTTCTGAATGATTTTTGAATACGAGTTTCAACGCGGGACTAACGCTGCACAAACAGCTCGCAATATCAATGTTGCGTTCGGAGCTAATGAACGCACCGTGCGATTTTGTGTCTCAGGATGTTGTTATGCACTATAGCTTTCTCCGAATTGGTCAAGCAATAACGGCAGATGTCTACTGTGCCCAACTCCGAATAATGATAGCAAAACTTGCAGTGAAACAGCCCCGACTCATGAATCGATCTTCACCATTATGGCTCCATGATAAGGCGAGACCTCATACAGCACGAGAAACCGTTTTAACTCTACAGGAACTGCAATTAGAAACCATTCGTCACCCCCCGTACTTGCCAGACCTTTTTCCAACGGACTACCATTTTTTTCGTGATTTGGACAAATTTCTACGTGATAAAAAGTTTTCTTCCCAGGAGGCAGTACAAAATGTTTTCACGGAGTTTGTAGAATCTAGATCACCAGAGTTCTATCGCAAAGGCATAAATGAATTTTTTGTTAGATAGCAGCAATTAATAGATATAATGGTAGATATTTTGATTACATAAATATGTTAAATGAAAGTACAAGTTCAGTACAAATCGGTAATTTTATACTTTAACCCCCAATATATAGCTTTTTTATTTTTTTTAAATACTAGCTACTTAATAAATTGAGTGTTCGTTTTGAAATTTAAAACATCAATCAAGTTTGTTCTTAACGCAGTTCAATATTGGTGCTGATACCCACTGAGTTTAACGCCGGATCTTCTCAGTGAGTCGCGATTCCGTTCCGGTAGTAGATTCAGCGAAGCACTTCTCCTGCTAGGGCCAGTGTTAGTAATTCTCAGGTTAAGTCCGTGAGCTCACCTATCGGTCCGCACGAATTTGGAATAGGCTACCAACGATTAGGTAGGAAAAAAAATGCTGATACATCTTCTGGTGCCTGTTTCATTGTGTGATTACACGCTTTAGTGTAGTGCTTTAAAAACTTTCCCTTATGAGATCTTCGTTCTTATTGCAAGATTTTCAACATATGAAACTAGGTAAAAACCAGTAACTTTTTTAAATAATACAATAAGACTCTCCCTATGGTCAACCAATCGCTGTTCATAGGGCTTATCTTTTAATGTTCTGACCGTCTTTGTCCCTTTTCCGTGCATCTTTTCCAAAAGAGCAATGTCATTCTTAAAGTAAGGGACCCATATTACAGGTTTCTTCAGATTGTATCGTTCACAGATTTAATTGCTTTTTGAATACGAGCACCACGAAGGCAGCCAGATCTTCGTAGCAAACAGAGTACGTTTCATTAACCTTTTAATAGCCCGATTCACAAACATTAAATAAATACCAAGCGGGTGCAAGCTTAAAAATTAGCATTTATTCCGGCTTTACTTTGACTGGTGAACGAGCTCAGAGGGCTCAGCTTGAAAGAGTTTGCTATTATCCGCCCAAAAGGCTTCGATTACTTTACCACATTATCGGAATCATGATCCACTGATTGTCCCAACGAGAAATTCAGTGGATTTATTTGTGTAATAATATCATATCGATTCGGTTCTCTACAACCCCACCGCATTTTAATATCACTATGATGTAGAAGTGAGAAAACAACTGCGTAATCGTATCATAATGACAGAGTAAATTCGTTTTTTTTTATGGCAACGGTATTTATGTCATATTGTACACACTAGAGGTACCGGTAAAACGGGGTGATTAGGGACAAATTCCAACTTGATGAACGATTTTAAGGCAATTTTTGATGTTTAAAATGCTATATCAGGATCAAAATGATTGAGTCTTGGGGGTATCTTTGTTATCCAATTTAAAGCTATACAATTAGCATTCCAGTTTAAGCAAAAAAAGAAAAAATAGGTGTTATCCCTATTTACCCAGATATTGCGGTTATTGGAGACGAAATGAGTGTTAATAGAGAAATTTTCTAGGGCTGGCACTCCTTGGTTTCAATTTATTTATTTATTTAGTTGCACCAACAAAGTGATCATCAATAAAAAACATTGAAAAACTGACAAAAGTACGTGGCAGATGTCACCTCAATTAGAGGTGCAATCGACAGTGCATTGACAACAAAAATAAAAAATATATAACTAAAACTTGATTACATTTAATTACTTATGATTAATTTATATTTACTTGGGAAATTATCCGCGATAGATTTTTCCTGTAAGTTGTGAAACAATTAGAAAAAACATCTATTTCATCACTTAAAATTAGTTCAGCGCATTCGGACAACTCCGAATGAACATTGACGGAGACCGCGCTACCGTGGACATTATTGTAGTCCCAAAGGATTCTGTTTAAGGGAGAGTAAACACCGAAATTCGAACGAGCGGGCTTTCTTATAAGCGGTTTATATTTCTTCGTTCTAAGTAAGTACTTAGGGGCTGATATTTTTATCTGGGTTAAGAGATTAGGTGTCCGTTATTCCATGGATTAATCAGGTGGATACCCCCACTCTGAATAAATATTAATATATTTTATTATGTATTACTTAGACATTTTTGTCCACCTTGAGATTTCATTGTTCTTGTTACATATCTGTGCAAAACCGACTTACTTATGTCTAACCGACTTACTTAATTGCTTAGCTATTTCAACTAAAGACTTATTCCTAATTTCGTAGGTTTCTATTACTGTTTTTAATACTAAGGGATCATATCTCTTATAAGAATTTGCATACGCATTGCAGATTTGATACGTACACGCGAGGCATATGTAAAAATAGAAAACAATACCTAACTTTTAATATAAATATTTGCCAAACAATAAAATAACACTGCATTGATAATTTTAAATAAAAGTTCTAGACAAAAACATCACGAATAAACTAGATCCTAACCAACACATTTAAAAAAGATTGTTATAACTACACAGCCAACCCTACAAACC